AAGGCATGTGCTACAATGCCTGGAAATTTTTGAAAATTTAAAAATAGGAAAAATAAGAAAACTTCACTATGAAGGAGAGATGCAATGCTAACAGAACAGACGGTAAACAAAAGAGGGTCTCCTGCCGTCAATCAACAATGGCAGTACCTTCCCTGCCAGCAGCCTATCTTTGAGAACAGAAGTTCCTTCACTACCATGGCCACTGCAGGAAACACAGAGAAGCCATGGTGATCAGGACTTTCAAATCTGAGGGGAAAAAAATCACAAACACATTTACATGACAATGATTTCATTTAAAAAAATATTTTCCACTCTCAAATTTCCTCTATTTGCACTAATACTGATACTCAAGAGTAAAAGGGCCTTCCAGAAAAATGAAGTTGCCAAGCACTTGTTTCCTTCCCACAAGAGTTAAGAATCAACGCTACAAGAGGACTATGCTTCGAGGGAAATAAAATCAATCCTAGTTTCGATGTGACTTGTTCAGGGTTCACCTGTTTCGCCTAACCCACACTAATGAACAGGTGGATAAAAATGAAGCCAAGTGCATCAAAGGAAACATGCAATCCTGAAGCACAATACACCTGCAAGTTTCATCATGCACAGGACACCCAGCCCTCTGCCTTCAGGTCTGACAGGCCCATGGTGAAACTGCTCCACCCACTAAGCGTAACTTCCTCCTGCCCTGGAGCCAAACCAGACCCAAGTGACCCTCCAAAAGAGAAAAGAAGGCAAAGGAGGGGACAGGAGACACCACTGCCCCAAGCAGCAGGGACTTCAGGCTTCTGGGGGCCAAAGCCAGGCACTGTGAGCCCAAGGAGATGAGACCACCACAGCTGTTGATCCAGTTTCATTCATCCACTTCCCAGGATTTCAGCTGCCTGCGTCAGACAATTGCTCACCATCCTCAGGGCAAAATCTCTCTAGATAGAGCAGAGGTGCTGTTGCCAAACCACCAAAGCACTCTGCCCCAACAGCAGAGTTGGGTCTCATCCTCCCCTCCCTAGCCAACACACCCAGCTGAGGGGGTAGGAGTCAACTTTTCTAAGCCTCTGGGAACCCTTTTTACACCTCAGGAGGAAGGAAAAAAGGGAGAATTTCTCTCCCTCAACACTGGAATTTGAAGATGTCCAAATAAAAGGCACACATGTCTAGCTGGCTTAAGTCACTAAAAGGAATCTCAACCCACTGGCATAACTGGCAAGGAATGGAACAGCAACTATCCTCCAGTATCTGAGCACAATCTGTGCTCTCCACACCTCCCAAATAAGAAAAGAAAAACAGAAAACTTGGGAACCACACAGAGAGACAAGAAACAGGTGATCAAAACGAACCAAAAGGCTATGAGCAAAATATGTAAAACTAGACAAAAAGTAGTCTTCCCTGACACCCTAATGGATAAGCCCCCAGGCTCTCCACCCAGGACCTCTTCAGTTAACGCCCAGCAGGTTATCCCACCTCCCATAGGAGTCTACTCCCCCTAGGCAGGAAGCCTGCTTACCCTGCCAGCCACATCTCTGTTGCCATGGGCAGCACAGCGCAAATCAGAGAAACTCCTGAGCCAGGCTGGCAAGTAGCTAGCTGTAGACCCTAAAGCCCCTCAAAAATATAGATTGCTAACTAGGTACAGTGATACACACACACATAACCATTGGGTTTACAAGACAGAAGCTAACCTGAGCTGTAAAGCAAGGTTCTTCTCACCTAACCCCAGAAAGAATGCAGACAGCTAAACAAAACCAATCTAAAATCAATCCCCTGAAATGAATCATGCCTGAGTCTCCCGTGTACCACATACATGTGCTAGATAGGTCCAAGACCCTCCCCTCAAACTCTACCATAGATAAACAGACTCTAGCTACATTTTGTCAGACCTTCCCATATTCTCCTGATCTAAACATTTTCAGCAAGATTCAAACCAAGCCACAGGTGTTTGCACACATCTGGAATCCTAGCACTCAGGAGGAAGAGTCAGGAGTATCAACGCAAGTTCAAAGCTAGCATGGTCTACAAATTCCAGGTAAGCTAAGCCATGGCTACAAAGTAAGACATGCCTCGTTTTTAAAAAGTGTAGAAAGTCAGGCATGGTGGTACACACCTTTAATCCCATTACTCTGGAAGAGGAAGAGGCAGGCAGATCTCTGAGTTTGAGCCCAGCCTGATCTTTCAGGACAGTGAGGGCTACACAGAGAAACCCTGTCTCAAAAATTAGCTGGGTGGTGATGGCACATACCAGCCTGGTCTACAGAGCAAGTTCTAGGATAGCCAAGGCTACACAGAGAAACCCTGTTTCCAAAAACAAACAAAAATAAATAAATAAATAAATGAATGAATAAATAAAGCAGGATGGGAATTGGAGTAGGGCAGGGAGGCAGAGAGATGGCTCGGTTGGCCATCAAACCTGAAAACTACAAACCCTGGAAATATGTGGTAGACACAAAGAACACAAAGACTTGTTCTAAAGTCTTTTATTATTACTATTTATTATTAATTTTTTATGGTTGCTGGACTTGAAAGATGGCTCAACAATTAAAAGCCCATGAATCAACACAATGCACTCTGGCACATGTACTTGTGCACACAGACAGCAAACAAATCTAAAAATAAACTCCTTTAAATACTCATGCCAAAATATCAAGAACTAACCATTTCTGTCTACATCTTCACCAGAGACCTGAAACACAAATGTATAATACCTACCGTGATTTATAAAGCACGGTGGGTACACAGCTGTGACATCTGCCCACTTCCCTCCTCACACTATCCTTCAGGGTAAGTCACTGTTGTACCAACATCTACTGCTGCAACCAAAATGAAAATCATAATAAAACCCTCTTTAGCCTCCTCTCCACACAGCTGGACAAAGCCTCCACGGAATGGACTGTACATCTACACTCCCAAATCCCAAAGATGTCTGCCACAGGCAGAACCTCACATTTCATCAATATGACAAAACAGCCACATTTTTACATTTATTTTATAAAAAATACATGTGTGCATGTGTGCACACTATAACTGACATGTGAAGACAACCATAATTTTTCTAAAGATTTTATGTCTATTTATGGGCACACATATGTGCATCTGTGTGCACGCACACATGTGTACAATTGCTCACAGAAGCTGAAAGATGGCATCGTATCTCCTGGAACTAGTTCAGGGAGTTGTGTCCCTCCCAGCATGGGCACTGGAAACTGAACCAGGGTCCTCCAGGAAGGCAGCAAGTGAGCCATCTCTTGAGTCCCACAACCATAATTTTTAAAAAAGGCTTCAAAAACAAAATACGATGTTTTCAAAAAATAACCTATCAGGGGCTGGCTTGCCAAGCATGTTTAAGCGTGACACCCCCAGCATTACCAGAGAGAAAGAAAAAAACACTATGAGCAGAAACACTATTAGCTGAGCTAAATATCTATTATCATACACATTAGAAAAAATTACTGCTACATACCCCAGAGAATTGTAAATATAAATAAAAAAACACTTCTATGTTCCCAGTAGCATTAATCAGCAGACTAATTAATCAAAACCAGTCACACAGTGACACATTTTGTGACCATAAAAAGGATCGAAGAACTGGCACATGCCACAGGGTGGGACGACCTTAAGGACACTGTGCTCAGTGAAAGCAGCCTGTCCTACGTGAGTCTAAATATGCAAAATGCTCATAAAGGTCACCTCCACACAGAGAATGGAGGTCAGTGACCACTGGCGCTACAGTCACTGTGTGGTATGTGGAGAGACACACTGAAGGGAGACGATGGTGACTTTGTGGACATAACAAAATGAAGAAACCACCCCACTGAAGGGACAGTCCTCATAGCAAGCAAATCATGTCTTGCTTTTAAACTGCTGTTAACATAGCAGCGTTAAAACACAACTGCAGAATCAAAAGCAGTAAGTCCAAAGAGCCTCTACTTACCTTCCTATCCCCAAGTCCCATGTGCCCTTCCCAGGGTTACCGGCACCTGGCCCTGACATTGCCCACCCAGTCTCAGAACCTGTGTAAAGGTGCGCAGACAGCCAAACCCAAGATGGCAGTATGACTGGTTGCCTTCAAACTTCTCCAAAGGATCCTGCTTCTGAGTGACCTAGAAGTTTCCTTTGCTTCCAAAATATGGACAAGAACTACTCTCAAATCTCACCCAGTGTAATAAAAGAAAATCAAGAAGATGTTTCTGACCCTAGAGCCTACAGTCCCAGAAGGACATCTATAACCCTCCAGAATGTGAAACCCTAGAGACCATGGCCTTATAGAACTATCTATGCCCTCCTCCTGAATGCTCACTCTCAATACCTCAATGGCCTCAGAAAGCTTCTGTGACCTTGTAAACATTAACCCTAGAAACAGCATTGGAGAGGCACGACGTAACAGTGTACATCAAAGCCAAACAAAGCCTTAGGAGTCTATCTGTGACCTCACCAATACTGGTCCAGAGCTTCCTAGCCTCATTCATAAGGTCATACCCTCTCTGTGATTTCACACTAGAGTTTTTCTTCTTGCCAGTACTAAAATGCCATACAACAGACAGGCAAAGACCACCAGCAATAGGTAGATTGGGCACAATGGGCTTCTCTACACAGTTCCTAGAGCCTGTATTTAAACTTAGATACTAAAAACTTTGTAACACATTAATCCAAACAGGATCAGATTTCAAGCCCTCTGCCTCTTTCACTAGGGCTAGCTTCACTGCTTTACAACAAAACTAAACTCCCAGGGACATGGCTGCAGTTCTGCAGGCACCACTGTCCCCTAGTGGTGATGCATATATCATCAGCTTTCTCCTGTGAGCCACCACTTCAGGCCAGCCTTATACACTAAGCACACAGTAGTCAGTAGAAAATGAAACCACAATTCTGTGATGCAAACAAATCCCACTATGTTCCAGTCACTGGAACACAGAGTGAATGGAACCAACAGTTTGGGGATGACCCATCAGTTTGGAAACAGTGCAAAGGCCTACAGTCCCACAGATCCACAAGCTGTCCCTGGTACTTACCAGGGCTTGCAGCATCCCATCCATTGCAATGACACCCTCAATGGTCTGGAAAGAAGAGTGGGCCAAGGTACACAGGCTCCAGTCCAGAAAGCTAGCCATCTTTCTCTGCTTGACATCAGGTCTTACGATAAACCTGAGGGGAATACAAACACAGGAGATGCTCAACAAGACTCCAATGTTGAGAACCCACCCACATTCCACCAAACACATTTCCTCCCAGCCCCTAAGCAGAGCTGCTGCCTACATACATGGCCCTCTCTCCAAGAATCCAAGGCCCTGACCATCATGGTCGAGCAGTTGATATCTCATGAAGTTATTCACAGGCCTCTCCACCTTCCCTCCTTCCCTCCTGGGGCGCAAATCATCCAACAGCTTCACAAATCGACAGATACCTTTATCCCCACCACAGCCAGGGAACATCTTCCTACTTCTCAGCTCCAACTCCTTCTAAGAGTATCCCTTAACCTCAGGATACATCCCCAACAACCTAGTCCAATAGGCAATCCCAACCCAAGGACCTCTCTACCACAATCTCTATGGATCATACAACTCCCACCTCATGATGCAGGGCCTGTTTCCTTCCACCCAAAATCCAGCTGACAATGTAAGCTCAGACCACTGGCCAGGTGACTCTATAGAGGTTCTGTAACTGAAAAACAAGCCAAGTTCTGCCCACTCAGGGCTGACGCCAAAAGAAAAGGCAACCCAGAAGAGTAACAAAGAAAGAAAGAAAGAAAGAAAGAAAGAAAGAAAGAAAGAAAGAAAGAAAGAGGGAGGGAGGGAGGGAGGGAGGGCGGGAAGGAAAGAGAGAGAGAGAGGGAGAGAGGGAGGGAGGGAGAGAAAGAGAGAGAGGGAGAGAGGGAGGGAGGGAGAAAGGAAGGAAGGAAGGAAAGAAAGAAGGAAGGAAGGAAGGAAGGAAGGAAAGAAAGGAGGAAGGAAGGAAGGAAGGCAGGAAGCAAGAGGGCTGGAGAGATGGCTCAGAGGTTAAGAGCACTGGCTGCTCTTCCAGAGGTCCTGAGTTCAATTCCCAGCAACCACATGGTGGCTCACAACCATCCGTTATGAGATCTGGTGCCCTCTTCCATACAACATGGAAGCAGAATGTTGTATACATAATAAATAAAAACATAGAAAGAAAGAAAGAAAGAAAGAAAGAAAGAAAGAAAGAAAGAAAGAAAGTAGAGGGAGGAACAGAAGGTGCTGCCTCTCCAAAGAAGGCTCACAGACAACCTCAAGGGTACTTGTAAAGGAGGGCTGAACAAGGAAGGGTGCCAGCCAGGTGGGAAAGTGCTGCATCGGAGAAAAAGCTAAGAGGAGATGCACAGAAGTATAGGGACCAGGGTCAAAGGGCCTAGGCAAGCCAGGCAGCAAGTCTGACGAATGTCCTAACTACAATCCCAGGACATTCAGACAGGAGAATGGAAACAGAGGTGCCAGCTGGTAGACGTAAGGTAGTTTCTAGTGAATAGTGGAACTGTCTGCAGAGAAAGGAGGCCATGAGTCCTGGGGACAGAGAGGCCCACTTTGGGGTATTCCCTATGCAATGCCCATTAGAGAGCCACATGAAGCACCAGCCAGTGGTTTGTGTGAGTCCACAGTTCTGAGAAGAGTCAGAACTGGAACCTCCATCCTCTTGTGTCCTGACCACCTACCTGGGACCTAAACCCACTATACCTGTGTAGCTCATCTAGAGGGCCAGTTAGAGCTACATCTACTCTCTTGGTAACAAACCCTCTCAGCATACACTGGTAGTACTATGATCCAGCCCCTCCCAGAACATGTCCAGGCAAGCACAAGTGGACAGCTGGCACTCTTCATCATCCCATGAGTGGCAAAGACCCACCTCCTGAGGGTACCACCTCACAGGACATGCTCAAGGATTTAGGTTCCCTATTTCCAAACACCATGGTCCAATACTTGCCTAGCCTCAGTGGTCCTCCTGTTCAATCTATGTGGCAGATAACCAAAGCTTTGGCCTAAGCAGCACCTACACAGTCTATTATTTGTCCTCTGCCTTCATCCTGTCATGGGTCATATGCACAAATTTATTCCCATGGCAACGTATACCTTTAAACTTTAGAAAAATGTAAAGTCAATAGAAAAACATAAAGTCACTTGCTATATTACAAGCTACCAATTTGACAAATAAAGAAAAAGCAAAGTTGAGCCACTAACAGGCCAAGCTGCAAAAGCAGCAGAGCATCCAGCTGGATTGACAACTACAAAAGAGGTAGAGCCATAAGACTGGTAGTTACCAGCAGCAGAAATTAGAAGCAACAAACAGCAGCTGCCTTTGAACAACAACAACTCTGACAGTGGCCATAGTACAGTAAGTGGCAGCTGAACAGGTCAAGACAGCAGCCATGGCAGGAGAAATAATAACTGCAAAAGTAGAGAAAAGACAAGAGACAGTAGAAAATTGAGACTATAAGACAGGCTATGAAAAACCAGATCAAAAACTACAGCACCTGAGAAACTAGTAAACAAAGAGGACCCTAAAAGAGACAAACTTTGTCCCCTGGAGAAGGGGAAAGGGTCACCATCCCCTGAGCAAATTGAGAGCATGGGAAGAGGGGGGAGGGAGCTACGAGAATGAGAAGGGAAAAAGAGGAAGGATGCAGAGGTCATGAGGGAGCAGAAAGGTTAGGTCAGGTGTAGATTAGAAGAAAGGACATGTGATAGGTAGGGTTTTAGTTAGGGGGTGGTAGGGGAAGAAGGAAGAGAGAAAGAAACTGAGATTGTCATGTAATTCAATCTTGTTTGTAATTAAAATAAAAAAAAAAAAACTACAGGCCCTGCTGTTCATGAAAACCATCAAGGCTTTAAGTCCTAGGGCTTCAAAATACCAGGCCAGACAGCTGTTAACACTGAACATTACTAAGCACTTAGGAATCCCAATACCTACATCTTCACAACAGCTGCTGCCAAGGGATGAGGAATACTCATAAAACCAAGGGTCCTAGCACCTTTGGCTGTCTCAAAAACTGTAACACTTGTAGAACTAAGGACACCACTCTCAGAAGCTTGCACAAGATTCCTAACACTAGAGGACCCCACCTGCTGATGTTTCTGCCTGCTTATTCCTGCAATTTGATGCTATCAAATGCTAACAAACACAAAAGATGTAAAGACCAGCACTAAAGTGTTTCATCGCCTACCTGTGCATTCTACCTAAGCAAAGGGAGCCCCAGACAACTAACTAGGAATCCTAGTCATTGGATTGACTTGAACACAGCCTCAGAGTGAAACCTAGTGACATACCTAAAGATAATAAAGGCAGTTTACAGCAAGCCCATAGCCAACATCAAATTAATGGAGTGAAATTCAAAGCAATTCCACTAAAATCAGAACAAGACAGAGTTGTCCACTCAATCCACACCTACTCAGTAAAGTACTTGAAGTCTTAGCAAGAGCAGTAAGACAACTGAAGGAGATCAAGGTGAAACTCAAGGAATGGAAGATGTCAAAGTATCGTTTCTGCAAATGAAATGATAGTATACATAAGTAAGCCTAAAAATTCCACCAGGGAACCTCTACAGCTGATGAAACACTTTCAGCAAAGTTCCTGGATACAAGATTAACTCACAAAAAGCAGTAGCCCTCCAATATACAAATGACAAATGGACTGAGAAAGAAATCAGGGAAACAACATCTTCCACAATAGCCTCAAATAAAATAAAATATCTGGGGGTAACTAACCAAGCAAGTAAGAACTTGTATGATAAAAACTTTGAAGAAAGAAATTGAAGAAGACATCAGAAGATGGAAAGATCTCCCATGCTCTTGGATCACTAGGGTCCATAATAAAATTTAACACAATAAACACTGCCATCCTACCAAAAGCAATCTGGAGATTCAATGCAATCCCCATCACAATTCCAATGCAACTCTTCCCAGACCTGGAAAGGACAATTCACAACCTCACATGGAACAACAAAAACTCCAGGATACCTAAAACAATCCTGAACAATAAAAGAACTGCTGGAGGACCTGAGCAGTGGTGGCTCACACCTTTAATCCCAGCACTGGGGAGGCAGAGGCAAGCACATTTCTGAGTTTGAGGCCAGCCTGGTCTCCAAAGCAACACAGATACACAGAGAAACCCTGTCTCAAAAATAAATTTAAAAAAGAAGAAGAAGAAGAACTGATGGAGATCTCACCATTCCCAAAGCCAGTTGTGCTACAAAGCTATAGTAATGAAAACTGCATGATATTGGCATAAACAGACTGTTGATCAATGGAATCGAAATGAAGATCCTGACATAAATCTACACACCTAAGGACACATGAATTTTTATAAAGAGCCAGAAATATAGATGGGGGGAGGGCATCTTCAATAAGTGGTTCTGATCAAACTGGATGGCTGTATGTTAAAGAATCCAAACAGAAGCATATTTATCACCCTGCACAAACTCAACTCCAATTGGATCAAAGACCTCAACACAAAACCAGATTCACTGAATCTGATAGAAGAAAAAATGGGCTTTAGCCTTCAACTCACTGGCACAGGAGAAGGCTTCCTGAACAGAACACCAGTAGCACAAGCACTAAGATCAACAATTAATAATGGGACCTCATGAAACTGAAAAGGCAAAGGACACTGTCACTCAGACAAGCGGAAGCCTACAGAATGGGAAAAGTTTCTTACCAACTCCACATCTGACAAAGAACTAATATCCAAAATATATAAAGAACTCAAGAAACCAGGTATCAAAACATCAAATAATCCAATTAAAAATAGGGTACAGAGCTAAACAGAAAATTCTCAACAGAGGAAATGCAAATGGCTGAGAAACAAAGAAATGTTCAACATCCTTAGGCATCGAGGAAATGCAAATCAAAACTTCTTTTGAGATTCCGTCTTACACCTGTCAGAATGGCTAAGATCAATACCACAAGTGACACCTCATGCGGGAAAGGTTTTGGAATAAGGGGACACTCATCCATTGCTGGTGGGAGTGCAAACTTGTATAGCACTTGGAAATCAGTGTGGTGGTCTTGGGCATATACCCAAAGGATGTTTCATCCCACCATAAGGACACTTACTCACTCATATTCATTGCTGTTCTGATCATAACAGCCAGAAACTGGAAACAACATAGATGGCCCTCAACAGAAGAATGGATAAAGAAA